GCATAAGGTGTAAAAAATAAACTAGATACTCTAAAGAGCCTGTGTCGCTCACCTTGGTCTGTGTGCATATTCAACAAAGGACACTATCTAAAATTGTAGACGAAAATAGAATTCATGACAAAAATCTGTTTTGTTGATCTTGTATTGCTGATCATTAAGTCTGTATAGTTTCTCTTTATCTTCTTTAGTTTTTGCTCAAAATACAAAGGAGGGTAGAAAAAATACTCATTTAAGGGCAATCACTCCTATAAAGAGTGACAGCACACTAACTATATTGGCAAAATTTGACTTGTTAGTAGATCTTGACTTGCTGGCTGATAATTTTTGTGTTTTTTAAAGTGTCTATTTATCTATTATTATTTTTTTATCATATATGGCAAAACGCAAAAAAAATGGGGAAAATCGTTTTTAAAGGACAATAACTCCAATAAGGAGTTGTCGGACAATTTTCTCCATATTGTCTTAATTGTAGATCTCGTCTTGCTGATCATTTTTGCTTATTTAAGTTTCTATCTATCTATTATGATTTTCAAGATATAAGGCAAAAGCGCAATAAATTGTTAAAAATTGTCATCAAAGGGCAATAACTCTAATAAGGAGTCAACTGACTATTTCAACCATTCGACTTGTCTTGCTGATCAATTTTGCAATTTAAAGTTTCACTTTATCTATTATAGTTTTCAAGATAGTAGGCAAAAATGAAAAAAATGGTAAAATTTGTAATTTAAGGGCAATAACTCCTATGAGAAGTCGTTTGACAGTTTTGATGTATATGGACAATTGGTAGAGCTCAACATTCCGAACATTTTTGCTCTGTCAGATTTTCTCTATTTAAAACGGATTTCAAAATAATAAACAAAACTTCCATTTTACCCCTATGTTCTATTTTTAGCCACGTTGGCCATCTTGGTTGGCAGGCAGGGTCATTGGACACATGTTTAAAACCAAAATACCAATGAAGATTGTGGCCAAGTTTGATTAAATTTGGCCCAGCAGTTTCAGAGGAGAAGATTTAAAAACTAGAGGCTCTCAAGAGCCTGTGTCGCTCACCTGTATTTACTGTTGCTTTGGAAATCATGTAAAATAAGGTTAAAATCATAATTAATAGTATTAGATATTAGATATTATAATGATATCTAAGATAATAACAAAAAACTGCAAATTTTTTGTAAAATTACTAACTCAGGGGCAGCAACCCAACAACAGGTTATCGGATTCGTCTGAAAATTTCAGGGCAGATAAATCTAAATCTGATGAACATTTTTGCCACCTGTCAGATTTGCCCTTAATGCTTTAGTTTCAGAGATATAAACCAAAAACTGCATTTTACCCCTATGTTCTATTTTTAACCAAGTCGGCCATGATGGTTGGAAGGCGGGGTCATCGGACAAATTTTTTAAACTAGATACCCTAATAATGATTATGGCCAAGTATGGTTAAATTTGTCTCAGTAGTTTCAGAGAAGAAGATTTTTGTAAAAGATTACAAAAATTTACAAAAAATTGTTAAAAATTGACTATTTAGGGCAATAACTCCTAAAGGGGTCGACTGACAATTTTGGTCACGACAACTTATTTGTAGATCTTACTTTGCTGAACATTATTGCTGTTTACAGTTTACCTCTATCTATAATAATATTCAAGATAAAAACCAAAAACTGCAAAATTTCCTTAAAATTACCAATTCAGGGGCAGCAACCCAACAACAGGTTGTCAGATTTGTCTGAAAATTTCAGGGCAGATAGATCTTGACCTGATAATCAGTTTTACCCCAGTCAGATTTACTCTAAATGCTTTGGTTTCAGAGATATAAGCCAAAATCTACATTTTACCCCTATGTTCTATTTTTAGCCATGGTGGCCATCTTGGTTGGTTGGTGGGGTCATCGGACACATTTTTTAAACTAGATACCCTAATGATGATTGTGGTCAAGTTTGGTTAAATTTGGCTCAGTGGTTTCAGAGGAGAAGATTTTTGTAAAAAGCTAACGACGACGGACGACGACGGACGATGGATGCCAAGTGATGAGAAAAGCTCACTTGGCCCTTCGGGCCAGGTGAGCTAATAAAAAAGCTTTCCTATAGGTAGAAACCATGTCTGGTATAAATCTATTTTTAGGATCTATGAAAATGTGTATGCGTTTGTCATCATCTTTCCTTAAGAATAAAGTTCATAACTTCTCAATATCATATCTGAAATTTATAAAAAACAAAAGGGAGGTTATCTTAATAGATAAAAATCAGTCACCAAAGTTTAATGAAAACTGCTCAAAGCACTCTAAGGATATTGTCCAAAAACTGGAACTACCCCTTTTTTTAATGAATAAAACCCCAAAACTAGTAAACGTAAAATCTGAAATTTATAAAAATCGAAAAGGAGCCTACGTCAATAGATATAAACAATTTGCCAAAGTTTCATGAAAACTGCTGAAAGCATATTTGAGTTATTGTCCGAAAAACTGGAAAATCCCATCTTTTTTAATGAATAAAACCCCATTACTAGTAAACGTAAAATCTGAAATTTATAAAAATCAAAAGGGAGCAAAAGGAAATATATATAATCATTTCACCAAAGTTTAAGGAAAACTGCTCAAAGCATCTTTGTATAAACAATTCACCAAAGTTTCTAGCAAATTGGTGAAAGTGTTTTTGAGTTATTGATCGAAAACTGGAATATCCCCCTTTTTTGTAATGAATAAAACTCCAAAACTTGGAAACATCAAATCTTAAAATTTATAAAAAACGAAAAGGAGGTAGCTCACGTCAATAGATATAAACAATTCACCAAAGTTTCATGCAAATTAGTTAAAGTGTTTTTTTTAGTTAATGTGTGACATGTTGACGACAGACGGACGGACAGACAGACAACGGTATACCATAATACGTCCCGTAAACGGGCGTATAAAAATGAAAAATTGATATATATTTTTGGTACTTTCAAGTTAAAATAGGGATGAAATCTTAAGTTACGAAGACTTTTAATGGCTATGTCTATTATTGAAGACTGTAATGTTGACATCCAGATGTATTTGTTTTGTTTTATGTCTAGTTTCTATCTAACTGATATACAAATGTATAACCAAAGTCTAATTTCATTCATACAGACAAGAACTTACAATTTCAGATGAGAGTTTATAAAAAAATATCTATTTGGCATATGAACCAAATGAAAACTATTGCTTGGTTAAATTATACCCTAAAGAACAAATCAGTAAAAAACAAGAGTGCACACACTGAAATGTCTCGCCTTCTTTACTAATCATTGATATTATGTTGATAGTCCTAAATATGAAGCTTTATTACAACTGTCACATAAACTTAACATTAACCAAATAAACTAAACATTGACCAATGAACCATGATAATGAGGTAAGGTCAGATGAACCATGCTAGGCAGGCATGTACAGCTAACAATTCTTCCATACAACAAATATAGTTGATCTATTGCTTATAGTATTAGAAAAACAGACCAAAACACAAAAACTTAACACTGAACAATGAACCTTGAAAATGAGGTCAAGGTAAAAAAAAACCTGCGTGACTGACAAATACATCATAAAATATTTCCAAATATAGTTGAACTATTGCATATAGTATTAGAAAAAAAGACCAAAACTCAAAAACTTAACTTTAACCACTGAACCATGAAAATGAGGTCAAGGTCAGATGACACCTGCCAGCTAGACATGTACACCTTACAATCATTCCATACACCAAATATAGTAGACCTATTGCATACAGTATAAGAAAAACAGACCAAAACACAAAAACTTAACTATAACCACTGAACCATGAAAATGAGGTCAAGGTCAGATGACACCTGCCAGTTGGACATGTACACCTTACAGTCCTTCCATACACCGAATATACTAGACCTATTGCTTATAGCATCTGAGATATGGACTTGACCACCAAAACTTAACCTTGTTCACTGATCCATGAAATGAGGTCGAGGTCAAGTGAAAACTGTCTGACGGGCATGAGGACCTTGCAAGGTACGCACATACCAAATATAGTTATCCTATTACTTATAATAAGAGAGAATTTAGCATTACAAAAAATCTTAACTTTTTTTTCAAGTAGTCACTGAACCATGAAAATGAGGTCAAGGACATTGGACATGTGACTGACGGAAACTTCGTAACATGAGGCATCCATATACAAAGTATGAAGCATCCAGACCTTCCACCTTCTAAAAAATAAAGCTTTTAAGAAGTTAGCTAACGCCGCCGCCGCTGTAGCCGGATCACTATCTCTATGTCGAGCTTTCTGCGACAAAAGTAGCAGGCTCGACAAAAATGAAAGACATTACAACTTCATTAAAAAGAATCTGTCAATGTATGGTTGGTTTCTCTGATTTATTGGAGAGAGTTTGGCTTACCATATGAGAGAGTTTCATTCACCATATAAAGAATGCAAAACCCTTCTTTTGTTTTTGAAAAATCCCCAAATACAAATTACAAATAAAATGGCAGGTGCAATAGTACTATTCCTGATGAGGTTAGGGCAGGTTTGGTTGGCTTTAATGAGCAATTTCAGATAAATAATGTGTATCCCTCTATGATTCATACCTAAGCCCCTATTTAGCTATGGAAAAAACTCAAAATACTAAATGTTTAAAATGAAATAATGTTTACAATAGTCATCTTCATTTAGAAAAATTGATTTAAAGTGTGGAATGTTTTCTGTACAGTAGTTCTAAAAGAGTTAAGGGTAGGATAAGGTGTGATTACACTGACAAACCAGTTAGTGATGCCTGAAATAATGTCCAGGTTAAGTGTCATGGCTCACACTGGACACAAATAAATTATCTTCAAACCAAATATTGAATATCTACTTGTTAAAACTTTCTGAAAAACGAACCCTTGTCAAGATTTTCTAAGATATTCAACCCTAAATATTAGGACAACTTATGTCTATTAGAAATATCAAAGCACACAGAACCTACAACCAAAGATAAGGGTAACAAGAATGGAACTAGTAAATGGCCTAGTCAAAGAAGTTAAAAAACATATTTAATTCTTTCTATACAAATAATACAGTTTTGTATTCTGCAAATCTTAACAATTTCTGTACAAACAACATAAAGCATGAAGATTAGACTACAGGATTCTGAAGAAGGTTGATACAGTTATGTATGAAGCAGATTAAAGACTACATTTTACACAAATATATGTATCATATCACAAACTTACATCTAATGTGCTGTCTGACATACCTGCCAACTTTTCAAAATTCTCCATGGGGGATTTTAAGCACAAGAGGACCTATTGCATCTCTTAACATGTCAAAAGACTTGTTTATGTAATACTGTAATTTTAGAAATTTTTGACATGTTTTCATTATTGCCACATTTGCGACAGAACAGGTTTCACATGAAATAAAAACTCATATTTTCATTCTGATAGCATTATTTGTATACATTTCCCCAAATTGCAATTATTCAACTCACACTTTTGTCTATTGTTCAGCAATCAAAATAATAACAGGTAATGCCCACAAACATTTCTGATGTGATTTTGATTTTTGGTGTTTTAACGCCACTTTAAAGCACCACTTTTGGGCTATTTCGTGGCGGCCAGTTTTTATTGGTGGAGGAAGCCGGAGTGCCCGGAGAAAACCACCGACCTTCGATAGGAAAACTGACAATCCTAGTCAATTAAGATTGAAATCGAGTGCAACCGCACGAGCGGGGTTCGAACTCACAACCTCAGTGTTGACTGGCTAGTGATTACAGTAGTAACTACTTAGACCACTCGGCCACCGAGGCCCCCCAAACATTTCTGAATTTTCAGTATACTCTAGTGTTGATAGAAAAAAATATTTTTTTAAATGCAATTTTGAACTCCTTTGTATGTCTTTTTTTATTATTCAGTTCATATAATGGAGGATTTCAAGAACGAGGTCAACACCTCTAATGGGGGAAATTGCCCCTAATTCAGAGCAGTTGGACAGTCTTTGTGCAGATTATTCATGACAGTGGAAAGTTTCATATAAAACTTAAATTTACTCATTGAAATAAATAACTGTTTCTAACTTTCTACATAGTAATCACATTATGTACACAGATTTACAATAACAATTTACATCTTCTATAAAAAATTATGAAAATTTTGGTAACATGATTTCATACAAGTTATTTATGTTTAACGACAATGTTGAATACATTTCCGTTAAATTGCCACTTGTAACAGCTTGTTTCAGATCACAATGTTTGAATAACTTTCAGTAATTGTAATCTTAACTTAATTAGTTGCACTCTCCTGCTCAACAAGTTGTCCCTTTTTGAATTGTTCCAGTATTGGTTGTATGGATGGATCTCGGCCACGAAATTTTCTGAAAACATCCCTTCCTGACACACTTCCTCCAAGTGATAAAAATGTTTCTCTGAATCTGAAAGGGAATGGAATTGAACATCAAAATTCTTTAAAAATTCTAAAACGCCTTAATTCACATATGGAAATATGCAATATGGGAAAGACTTCTTTAAACTGATTCTAATCATTATTGAAGTTGAACTACCCTGCTGCAGAAAACTCTTTAACTGTAAATGCCAAAACCAAAATTCAATTTGAAATAAATCAAACAAACAAAAAAAAATCAAAATTTTAAGGTATCTTAAATTAAGGAAAATAATTCTTTTACTGTTAATGTCAAAATCTAACTTGACCTCCACAATACCATCTATGACATTGTGTTCAAATTTCAAAAGATTTGGTCTAGTTATCATCCACAAATTAATGAACAAACCAAATTTTCAAGGTAAGTTAGGGGCATAACTCTAGAATGCTAAATGTCAAAACCACCAAATAGAACTTGACCTGTATGTTATAATCCTTGACATAGAGTTCAAATTTGAAAAGATGAGGTCAAGTAATATTTATCATTCGTAAATTAAATTTTTTATTGTAAGATAACCGCATAAATTTTGAATGGATCATTGTCAAAACCATGACATTTGAACTAGACCTGTGTTTTTATTATCTATGTATTAGGTCCAAGGACACAGTTATCGTCCTTTGGTTTTCGTTGTCTACAAATATAGTCCCTAGTGTGAACAGTGTATAACTTGCATTTTTTTTTGATACACTTTCCCAATTTATTTCTTGATATTTTATGCATGACATATTAAGTAAGGGGATGAAATTACATGTTAAAAAAATTTGGGTGCTGAATCTTTATGTTAAGTAGTGATTTGGTCCAGTTAAAAAAGGTCAAAAATTAGAATGTCTGAAGCTGTCAAACTGAATTTTAGCCCCCCTTAACACAGAACTGTCAATATTTTGAGTTAGAGCTGGTAGAAGTTTCTATAATTTTGATATTATTTGTATCAATAGTAGTACACTACACTGTAAAAATCTTTTTGAGATAGAGCAGGTGCAATTTTTTTAATTTGAATTTATTGTCTAAAAGAAATGCACTACGAAATAACTGTGTTCTCGGGCCTAAGAGATGAATTCAGTAAATGTAGATTCTGTACTTTGGCAACTTTCCTGAATGGTTTGCTGGTTTCAATTTGTCAAACTCAATAAAAGTAAAGGATTTACATCTTTGTTTGACAGAAATTCTGTTAAAATGTCCCATTTTGGCATTATACGGCTAAAATAAGCATTTTAAAGCAGTTTCAATTTTATGCCCAAGAGCCATGCTGACTTTCTATCTGACAGCTTTTTATGTTCCTGATATTTGTGTTTCTATGCTTAAATCAAATTTAATTAACCATTTGTGAACTCGGAATCTAGAGAAAAGTAGATTATCACAGAAAAAATGTGCAGAATATTTGTATTTATGTCCCTGGTTAAACGGCCTGTTTGATGTATGTGAAATGTAAAGAGCTTTGTACATAAAATCTGTAGTCCATCACAAATATTTCACTAAATCTGTAAAAAAAGCACTTTACAATGATCAGTTCACCCTATTCATTTCATATGCTACCATAATTTTCTTCTTTAGGATAGTAAGTAGTTCAAATATATGCCAAATGAGACTAAAACTACATGCAAGTTTTCCATTGAAAAGTGAAAAACTGGTCATCAGACCATACTGTCTGCCAAAAAAATTTAAATTCAAGAGTCCTTTTGCAATTAGACTTCTTGTATCATGACATCTTAGCATAGAAATGAGCAAAAAGTAACAAATTTCAATTTCTTATAGCCTCTGTGTGCATTTTTATATGTAAATATGGGCTACGGCCTAAATCAACTCTAAATAATTCTCAGTCTTACATGGCCTTAGACCATTTTATACTCATGTGGTATGCTTTTTGTAACTTTTCTTTACATTTAAAGTACATTTAATATATATGGGAGAATAATGTATGGTTAAAAAACTTCAAAAACTTCAAATTGGTTGAAAAAAATGCATGTTTATGTAAGGCTTCCCTTAATTCGAAAATCTCTATTTTCAGGCACAGGCTCATATAAATTTGACTTTTGAATAACTGTAATAAATCTGATAAATCAAATATAGTCCCTAGTGTGAACAGTGTATAACTTGCATTTTTTTTTGATACACTTTCCCAATTTATTTCTTGATATTTTATGCATGAAATATTAAGTAAGGGGATGAAATTACATGTTAAAAAAATTTGGGTGCTGAATCTTTATGTTAAGTAGTGATTTGGTCCAGTTAAAAAAGGTCAAAAATTAGAATGTCTGAAGCTGTCAAACTGAATTTTAGCCCCCCTTAACACAGAACTGTCAATATTTTGAGTTAGAGCTGGTAGAAGTTTCTATAATTTTGATATTATTTGTATCAATAGTAGTACACTACACTGTAAAAATCTTTTTGAGATAGAGCAGGTGCGATTTTTTTAATTTGGATTTATTGTCTAAAAGAAATGCACTACGAAATAACTGTGTTCTCGGGCCTAAGACATTGTGTAAAAATTTAAAAAGATTTGGTTAAGCTGTTCTTAAATTATTATCTGAAATTTAAAATTGTGACAAACTGGACAGACAGACTAAAAGACATGTGCATCACTATATACCACCCCTCTTCGAGAAGTACATATAATAAAAGTACAAATTACTGCCATATGTTTTCTTGTTAAAATATACCTTAGCTGGTGTCTGAAAAATCATCTGTGAAGAAAATATTTATCATTATATTTACCTTTTCCCAACTAAACCTAATTTTACATCATCTTCAAATCCAACTTCATTGAATGCTTCAAATATATCAGCTGCCAACATCTAAAAAAATAATGAAGAAATAAAGACTGATTCTTTCTGTTTGCAGTAACAGTCTGTGTATGAAATCATGAGATGTTCTCTAACATATACACCGCCTCAGTGGTCTTGTGGTAGCATGCTTGCTTGAGGTTGTAGGTTCTATCTCGGGCCGTGTCAAACCAAAGACTTTAGAATTGGTATATGCTGCTTCTCCCTCAAGCATGCAGCATTTATGAGTAAGAGCAAATACTGGTCGGCAGGAATCAGAATAATGTGTCTGGGTAGGGTGACATGTCTTCCTGCAGACTGTTACCTTGTAAATTAGCACCTATAATAGCCTGCTCAGCTTGTCGGTCTAGTACAAGCTGGGTTCATATTAATATCACATCAACATGTTCTTGTCCTCAATATGAGTTTAATTTGCCACTGGATATTAAACAACCAGTCATCCATCCATCTAACATATATTGAATTAAACCCAGGGGTGTGTCAAAAGGTATGAATAACAGGAAATATTGAAAATTTATATTTAAATAACCTGACAATGAATTATAAACACACTATTTGAAATGTAAATATATAAAATATATACCGGTAACATAGCCAAAAAAAGTTACAGATGCATTTTTGATCTTGCAAATTTATATTTTTTCTTCAGTGGTATGTGAACTCAAGTCTGAACTGTTTCCTTGACCCTCTGCCAAAAAGGCTAAATATAATTTTGTTAGTAGGGGGTTGCCTTTCCTCATCTTCTCAATGTAGAGTTGTAACACAGTGCATGATGTATAGAGGCTAGGAGGTGATATATATACTTCAGTTCTGTTCTTAAATCAATATTTCCTCTAATTACCTCTAATACTGTTTGCTGTTTTATATAATACATATATATTAAATGCTCTGAGGCCGCAACTTGATACGACCGCAGAGGTCGAACCATGGACAGTTGGGGCAAGTATGGACACAACATTTAAGCTTGATACAGCTCTGAATTTGGATTGTGATTAAATATTTGACACAGCATAGGTTTCTGACTCAGAATGAATGTGGTCTAAGAACTTTAAAAATTTGAAATTCTAAATATATGGTTAGATAAGCATAACACAGATCACCAAGAATTCAATTTTGGACCATTTGGACCTTAAGGTGGACCAATTTGATAACAGGGACCAAAATCCAAAATCTAAATACATGGTTAGATTCAGCATATCAAAGAACCCCATATATTCAATTTTTGTTGATTTTTTAATTTTGGACCCCAATTTGGACCAACTTGAAAACTGAACCCAAAATCAGAAATCCAAAACATGTTTAGATTCAGCATATCAAAGAACCCTAAGAATTCAGTTATTGTTAAAATAAAACTAAAGTTTAATTTTGGATCCTTTGTACCTTAATGTAGACCAATTTGAAAACTGGGCCCAAAAATCAAAAATCTAAATACAGTTAGATTTACATATCAAACAACCCCAATAATTCAATTTTTCCGGAAATCAAACGAAGTTATATTTTGGACCCTTGGGACCTCAATGTGGACCAATTTAAAAACCAGGCCCAAAAACCAAAATCTAAATACATGGTTAGATTCAGCATATAAAAAGACCCCAAGAATTTAAGACTTTGAATTAAACTTCTTTAAAATTGGTTAAGAAATAAGCAATGTATACATAGTATTAGAGAATGAATGTGGTCTAAAAACTTTAAAAAATTTGAAATTGGACATTTACCTATTATGGTCCAATACCCAAAATCTAAATACATGGTTAGATTCAGCATATCAAAGAAACCCATATATTTAATTTTTGTTGAAATCAAACAAACTTTAATTTTGTGAAATTGGTTAAGAAATAAGCAATTTATACATAGTATTAGAAAAGTATTGTTTTTGGCGCCTAATTCCACAATAATGATAAATATTGATCAACTCTGATTTTTTGAACTCATCTGAGATATTGCTGATGTAAAAACTTGATACCAGTTTTATATCAATGAGAATCATTATTAAAGTGCACAAACAATGTTGATTTTCCATATCATGATTTTCCATATCATTTACCTCTCCAAGGGACATTACTCTACCAAAAATATTTCATTGTTTGCTGACTTTTTAAACTGGCTTGAAATATTGCAGACGTAAACATTTGACAATAATTTCATCAAACTTAATGTCTTTTTAAAATATAACTAACTCATATGAAATATAACTGGAATACAACAGTATTGAGTAATTAATCATACGTCAATCTTACCTCGCCCCAGACTGTAGAATAATACTGTGCTGGAAGTTGTTCATCAAACAAAAATGTGTAAGAGTTTGGCTGGAAGTCATCTCCTTCTAATGGGGTAGGCATGTAATTATTCCAACATTTATCAAAAATATTATACCAATGGGTCATCCATCTGTAAAAGTTTATATATTCTATCTCACTTCATTTGTAACTAATTGTAAACATGGATACTTATCACCATTCTTTCACAGCAAAGCCATGGTTTTTTTTTTCCAACGACTTTAAGTAAAAACCTCTTTACTTGAAGTTCATTTGGTCAGTAAACTTATAGTTACATAATGTGTATTTGAAAGGAAACACACCACACTTTTTGTTGTGATATAAAAATATGTCAGTAAATATGCATTCTCTTTAATGACAAAGTGCATACCTCAAAGTAAGTGTGCTTTTATTTTCATAATATATGTAATTGGAGAAGTATTGTAAAAGTGTGTCTTCTAGAGTAAACAGGTTTGAACATAAAAATAAACCAGACTTCTAGTCTGGTGACCATCGTTAATAAAAATGTTTAACTTAGCAATGTTTAGGGTATACAACAATTTAAAAAATTAATTTAATATAGTCAGTAATACCTCAAAATCGTTTTCAATGTTTTCCATTAAGGTTGCACAACAAATAAATTATATAGGACAGTCAGAAAGGGATGATCTTTATATTGTCTCTGTATGAATTTTACAGTATATTTCTTTTTAAATATGAATAAAAACAATTTCAAAGTGATAATAATGTTAAAAACTGATTACATGCCGATAGTCACTCTTGTTAATTTCTTATCTTACAATGTCTGGACAAAGGAGGAGCTTTGCCTATATTAAATTATTACATTCCATATGTTGGTCAAATCTGTGATTTCAAACACCTGCCAAATGCTAAATCAGTGTTATTAAGGGATAGACAGTGCACAAAAAATGTAAAATTAAGAGTCTATGTGTATAAATGACACAAGCTGTTGGATTGTTTGGCTTAGATAATTTTGATAATTGTGTTATATTTATAGGGGCTGATTGGGGGTTATTCTGAACATAACAGAATTGTTAGATATATGCGATTTAAGGGCATATTTTCTACATAACCATGTCCCAATTTTTTTTCTACAGAAAAACATACAAGACTAACAAAGGCCAGAGGCTCCTGACTCGGGACAGGCGCAAAAATGCTATTTTAGGACATGAAATTTAAGAAATAATTCATGGAAGCAATAGATTTGTTGTAAATTTACAACAAATCTATGGCTTCCATGAATTATTTCGATTCTAATAGGACAAATACGGTCATTTTAAAACTGAAGCGAGGGCGGGTATGCCGTGTGTGTGGCTGTTCTTTTTTACTCCCTGTTAAATAAAGCTCAAACATCCTAATAGATATGTAGCTTGCATGGAATATTTCATAAATAACCGCTAGAAAATCTGTTTAATAATTCTTTTAATTCTCAAACCCAACATTTGCCATTTTTAATTTTTATGTTTTTCTCGTCAGCTACCGTCAAATCCAAAGTTGACATTTCGTAACTAAGGAGCCGCCATGTTGACTTGCTGAAATCAGTAAATATGCGAATAATGCAATAGAATAGAAAATTTAACAAACCCTACCTCAAAAATCCGTTTTATTACAATATTATACGAATTTCGATGGTCCACGCTACGGAAAACCTTCAACTCTAGTGTTTTCATTTGTATGACGTCATGTTTTGAAATGACTAAAATGCGCCAAAAAAATTAATAGACTTTCGCGGAATTTTATTTTATTTTGATTTTGTTGATTTTTCCGAGCTCTTGTGCATTAATTCTTTTTATTATGCATCCGAATAAGAATAAAAGTTTGTTTGTCTTTTTTTAAATGCAATTTTTAAAACAATAAAATCGGCAAGGCGTTTGCAAATAGGTTCCAATACATGTGGATTTACGTGGGAGGTATATTGTAACATCCGTTATTATGTATATCTCTGAGTCTGCGCTAAGTATAGATATATCGAGAATTTTATCACGGTGTTGTTTACAAAGCGAAAGAAACACGTCATATTAGAATCATCATTTTGATACCTTCATAATATGTACAAATCAAATATTTATGAATAAAACTATTGAAAATAAAAAAAAAATATAATAGCTGAGACACTTAATTTAAATCAAATCGAATCTTTTTATAATTAAGTACCGATAAAATTACTCATATAAAAATAAGGAGATGTGATATGATTGCCAATGAGACATCTATCGGTACTATCCACCAAAGTTCAAATGAAGTGGATGTAAGCAATTAAAGGCAACCGTATGGCCTTCGATTTGTCAACTATTTATAATTTATTTTTGATTAACCATATTAATGTCAACTATTTATAATTTATTTTTGATTAAACATACTAATGTCAACTATTTATAATTTATTTTTGATTAAAGATATTAACGTCAACTATTTATAATTTTTTTTTGATTAAAGATATTAATGTCAACTATTTATAATTTATTTTTGATTAAAGATATTAATGTCAACTATTTATAATTCATTTTTGATTAACCATATTAATGTCAACTATTTATAATTTATTTTTGATTAAACATACTAATGTCAACTATTTATAATTTATTTTTGATTAAACATAAAAATGTCAACTATTTATAATTTTTTTTTGATTAAAGATATTAATGTCAACTATTTATAATTTTTTTTTGATTAAAAATATTAATGTCAACTATTTATAATTCATTTTTAAGTAATGATGTTAATGTGGACTGTTTATAATTCATTTTTGGATAACAGAGATTTAACAGTCTCCCTTTGTTTATTGATACAAAAACAGTGGGAAAACAACTTTGATATCAATGCACAACTTGTACTGAATTTGGTTCAATAACTAACACAAGTATAAGATGCTGATAAAATACTTTAATGATTTCTTATTTGCTATCTAAAGTGATGTATCGTTTTACCTCAAATCATAGAGAGTAATATATATTAAATTTTTATTTACATCCAAGGTATATATCGTAGTGTATTTATAGGTAGATGATTAAAATGGTGATTTATACTTTACACATCTATATAAATAAGAAAATTCGTAAGGGTTCCGCGGAACCCAGTGTCTCGCCTACTTTTGGTGTTAATCGCAGGCTCAACAAAAATGAGGAAAAAAATTAATAAAGATATTCCTCTCTATACCATCTTTTGATTGTAAGTAGCTTCTGTCCAAGTTTGGTAAAAATCCAGGATAATTTATGAATCTAATAAATGTTTTAAAAACTTAAACTGCAGAATGTATGTAATGTTGACTGGAAGAAAAACTAAGTCCATTTATAAGTAAAATACGGAAAAAATGGAACAAAATTTTATCAAAATTTCCTTCTAGATACTAGCTTTTGATCATAAACAAGCTTCTGTCCAAGTTTGGTAGAAATCCAGGATAGTTTAAGAAAGTTGTTAAAATTTTAAAAACTTTAACCACAGAGTGAATGTAATGTTAACTGGCAGAAAAACTAAGTCCATTTATAAGTAAAATACGGAAAAAATGGAATTTTTTTTTTACAAAATTTACTTCTGGATACTATCTTTTGATCATAAACAAGCTTCTTTCCAAGTTTGGTAGAAATCCAGGATAGTTTAAGAAAGTTATTAAAATTTCAAAAACTTTAACCACAGAGTGAATGTAATGTTTCCTGGCAGAAAAACTAAGTCCACTTATAAGTAAAATACGGAAAAAATGGAATTTTTTTTTTACAAAATTTACTTTTGAATATAATCTTATGATCATAAACAAGCTTCTGTCCAAGTTTGGTAGAAATCCAGGATAGTTTAAGAAAGTTATTAAAATTTCAAAAACTTTAACCACAGAGTGAATATTTGTGGACGCCGCCAGCGACGACGACGACGCCGACGGAATGTAGGATCACTATGTCTCGCTTTTTCGACAAAAGTCGAAGGCTCGACAAAAATGTGGTATGGTGGCCAATGAGACAACTCTCCACCAGAGACAAAATGGTTTTATCATACGTCATAAATAAAGAATTCTGGCCTATCAAAGAATCCAGAGTAATGACATTGGCTAGCTTAATACAACATTGCTATATAGACTCTCTTCCACATATTACTTACGGGTGAACATGACATTCCATATCAAAAGCACTTTTACACAGATTACTTATGGGTGAACATGGCATTCCATATCAAAAGCACTTTTACATAGATTACTTACGGATGAAAATGGCATTCCATATCAAAAGCACTTTTACACAGATTACTTAAGGGTGAACATGGCATTCCATATCAAAAGCACTTTTACACAGATTACTTAAGGGTGAACATGGCATTCCATGTCAAAAGCACTTTTACACAGATTACTCACGGATGAACATGGCATTGCATATCAAAAGCACTTTTCCACAGATTATTTACGGATGAACATGGCATTCCATATCAAAAGCACTTTTACACAGATTACTTACGGGTGAACATGGCATTCCATATCAAAAGCACTTTTACACAGATCATAACACATGTTGTAAGCATCAAGTGAGGATTCACCTAAAAGAGATAAAAAATATATATATGAGAAATGAAAATATGATACATTCATTCACATAAACCTATAAATCAAGACCTTTTGTTGCAGAAAATGTTCATGAAAATATTTAAAGCACACAACTTATAGAATAAAACAACCTTTAGTGAGCCAGCTACTATACTCCACACCACCATATCAGGTTGAAGAGCTTATAGTGAGTGACCTAATTACATAGTTTTTTTTCCTGTTTTATTTTGTTTTTACAAAAAAACAAAGCCCTATCCCTGTGACAAGAATTAAAATTGCACTCAATTTGTTGTAACTGTGATCTTGACCTTGTTTGTATAGAGCCAAAAATAATAGGGATCGATCTTCCTCCCTTTATATTTTACAATATATATTCACATGAGATACTGGAGTTATCATTAGGAAGCCCCTTTTTCAATACCTAATTTGCTTTATTTTTAGTAACTGCAAACTGGAGGTATAGACCATTATCTGGAAACCACTTTCCTAGAGGTAGAAATCTCAAAATCGAAAGGGAACTTCAATATATCTGACAATATATCCAAATATGGTTGTAATCATATCTAAAAAAAAAATTAAATACCATCTAGTTGTGTATAATATGCATCCCTATAATTACCAGCTATATATCTTGGGTAAAAAAGTGTGTATTGTAAATGAACCAATATGGTAACACACTTTTTTAAATGAATTTTTCATCCATAAAATTTCCTCGCCCTAAAATATTACAATTTATAAAAATTAATTGGAGAAGTGAGCCAATACTTTATTCCTTTTTGTTTTCAAGGCCATATCTAGTCTGTGGTCTATACAGTTTCATTTTTCCAGTGATATGAATGACCTTGAACTTCTATTGCATTTTAGGAAAATCTTTGACACTGGTTTTCCTGTGATAAGATTTGAACTGACCATCATTTGTTTTTTTGCTATCTCTTTGGAAATTAGTTTTTCTGTGAAAAGATTAGAACTAAACATCTATTATTTTTTTGGCCATCTCTTCAGACATTAGTTTTTCTGTGGTCAGATTGGAACTGAACTTCTAATATTATTTGGCCATCTCTTTGGACATTAATTTTTCTGTGATTATATTGGAACTTACCTTCTATTATTTTTTTTGCCATCTCTTCAGACATTGGTTTTCCTGTGATAGGATTGGAACTGATGCTCATCAGGACTTCTGGTCTTGTTAACCATCTTCTCATTAATTTAGCTACAGTGAAAACAGCATCAACTTCAATGTTATACTGTCCTGATAATTCTGAATATTGTACTGTTGTCAACATCTGTTGTAATCCATTCCCAAACTGAATAAAAAAGGAAGAAACATTTCTTACAACAACATGAATGTACTGCGGTGTCTCTTACAGTATATATATATGTCAGTTGATATAATGCTTAAAGAGGCAGTTTCTACGAAAATCATGAAACTTAAAAGCTGTTAAATGCAATAATTTTATAGATATTATTGAAAAAGTATGTTTCGTGTAACTTTTAGGACTCTAATGAATGTAATTAAGAGCAGACCTCATTAATTATGCCAGAATGTATACTCACACCATCTGGGATGACCTAGACCGTCTTGAAGCACATGTTCAAAAATACAAAAAGTAATGATAGTTTTAATTTCACTTCAGTGTTCAAATTGAAGTAATTACATTTGCCTGATACACTCTTTTTCTAAAGACCTTTAATTAGTAGAATTATTACACTTTTAAAAGCATTGTATGTAAATTGGTAAGAATTTCTATTTAGAGTTGATGAGACATGGACAGGGTAATTGTTATTAAAGAACTATTTAATTGAAATTCCTCACAAATTCATAATGTTATCACTAAAAACCCTAGATAAATGAATAAATAATTGATCAATAATCTAAAAATAGTTGGTTTAATGTATGCAATCCATTTTCTATGCCTGTTGTAGCCATTTCTTATGTTTTTTATATTACTTTGTTTTGTCATTTCAATGTGTACCTTTTAAACAAGTTTGCCAAAGTTGTCGGTCTACCAAGATTTGTGTTGTTTGGTACACGTGCATATTTATTAGGTTAATCCAGGGTTACATGAATATGGGGCAGGTTTCAAAATGATTTTTTGTTGGACATAAAAAAAATCAAATTCTTGGTAAAAAGAATGTTAAGATTTCCACCAAAATAGTTTTCATTCATATTTCATGTACAAAATGAACTATAGTCTTGAACAAATTGTTATCTAATTTTTTTTAAAAGATCAGCAAGTGATCACAAATCTAAAGATCAAAGCAAAATTTCAGAAAATATCAATAATTACATTTTCAACTTCCTGCTGATAACAAACATGATTTCTTTATTTGATTAAAGATGATTTCTGACTAGATTTATTATTTAACATTTTAAAATTGAAGTGAAAAAGAAAATTATGTGTTTCTTTTATTTTATGTAACCATAAATTGGGTATGTAGAACATATAAATAGGGTTCAATGGTAGTTTTTTATGAAGTATTTTGTGTTTCACTGTGTGCTTTCTCTTGGCCATGGTATTATTCGTCCTTTTTGTGTCTCATTATTCCACATTTGTATCATCAAGCTTTTTTGGTTGATTTAATATTCACCTAGTAAATGTTAAATTTCATGAGGCTTTTTTTCAGTAGTAAGCTGATTTTAGTGTTTAAATTTGTTATTAACTTACATTCTCGAATAATTCCTGTACATCATGAAATGTCATGTAGCCTGGCTCTGAAGGATGGGATGGGGGTATGACGTTTAATCCCATGTATGAAAATGGTGTTGTTCCTATGAAGCTTCTCACTACAAAAGAAATTAAAAGTTTAATTCATGTAAAATATGCAATTTTTGCAATATTCATGAGAGAGAGATTTGGTTATGTGAGGTGAATGAGACACATAAGGTTGTAGCGTTCTGTTGCATATTGTATGATGCAGAGAGAAGGTTGTAGTGTTCTGTTGCATTTTGTATGATGCAGAGAGAAGGTTGTAGTGTTTTGTTGCATTTTGTATGATGCAGAGAGACATTGAGTTAAATGAAACTTCTTACTTTAGTAAGTCTTACACTATGACTTTCCAAAATGTTGTATATTCCTGATAACTACCTGATCTTTTACTTGCCCTAACATCCCCTCCACTTGTGTCAGGTATATCACATATCATCTTTTACTTGCCCTAACATCCCCTCCACTTGTGTCAGGTATATCAAATATCATCTTTTACTTTCCCTAACATCCCCTCCACTTGTGTCAGGTTTATCTCATATCATCTTTTACTTGCCCTAACATCCCCTCCACTTGTGTCAGGTATATCACATATCATCTTTTACTTGCCCTAACGTCCCCTCCACTTGTGTCAGGTATATCACATATCATCTTTTACTTGCCCTAACATCCCCTCCACTTGTGTCAGGTATATCACATATCATCTTTTACTTTCCCTAACATTCCCTCCACCTGTGTCAGGTATATCACATATCATCTTTTACTTGCCCTAACATCCCCTCCACTTGTGTTAGGTATATCACATATCATCTTTTACTTGCCCTAACATCCCCTCCACTTGTGTCAGGTATATCACATATTATTTGTTAGACATGCTTTTGCTTTTTAACCTTTTTACACAAAATAATTACATATTATATTTTATTACATACGTCGACCTGGCTCCATCCATGCTGTTTTTCTTTTGCCTTTTCTGTTGTATGGATCAATATAAAAAGTGCTGATATATGAACCTAAAATATACATCATTAACTTTATAACTGATCAAGAATTGTTGATTTTTTTTATTCCATAACTCTGGAAGGACAAAAATTCTCAAAATTTACTTACAAATCAAGCTCAAGTAACACACTATTAGACACTACATGCTGCAAAATGTTAATTATTTTTAACAATCAAACTCTCATAACTTTGGTATAGTTTATCTGGAAATTGTCAAAATAAAAAGAAAGATTGTATTCATAAAGCCAAGCATCGCTTAAAAATCTCATAAAGATGATATTCTAAAAGTTTATAAGTATAAAGGAATATAAAGGAGAATTGTTACTGCAATTTTTTGCAGCAATTAAAAGATAGATTTTGAAAAATTTAAAGTGTCATCTAAAATTCCCCAAATTTCAACATATTCATTTATTTTCAACCTTTAATTTGCATTTAGGCTATAGATATAACCATGACTTTTCATATCTACTTTAAGGTATGTTCCTACAAGCATTTAACCTGCCATGGCTATTCCTATCCAGAACAATGCAAAACAACACAACAATGTATGCCTACTAGTGCTTTCAACTGGTTTTAAGGGTACCCCTACTATCCATTACATGGTGTATATTTAAATAAAATGCTCCGCAGGGCGCAGCTTGATACGACCGCAGAGGTCGAACCCTGAACAGTTGGGGCAAGTATGGACACAACATTCAAGCTTGATTCAGCTTTGCATTTGGATTGTGATTAAATATTTGACACAGCATAGGTTTCTGACACAGAATGAATGTGGTCTAAGAACTTAAAAATTTTAAATTGGACATTCACCTATTATGGTCCAATATCCAAAATCTAAATACATGGTTAGATTCAGCATATCAAAGAACCCCAAGAATTCAATTTTTGATGAAATCAAACAAAGTTTAATTTTGGACCCTTTTGACCTCAATGTGGACAAAGTTGATAAGGGGGCCCAAAAATCAAAAATCTAAATACATGGTTAGATTCAGCATATCAGAGAACCCCTATATATTCAATTTTTGTTGAAATCAAACAAAGTTTAATTTTGGACCCCGATTTGGACCAACTTGAAAACTGGGCCCATAATCAAAAATCTAAATACATGTTTAGATTCAGCATATCAAAGAACCCCAATAATTCAATTTTTGATGAAATCAAACAAAGTTTAATTTTGGACCCTTTGGACCTCAATGTGGACCAATTTAAAAACGGGGCCAAAAATCTAAAAACTAAATACACGGTTAGATTCAGCATATTAAAGAACCCCAAGAATTCAAGAATAAAACCCCATTGAAATTGGTCAAGAAATAAGCAATTTATACGAAGTATCTTCTTTTGCACAATACTGTGCAATTAAATATTTCTTGCTATTGCGCAATACTGTACAATTGACAATTTCTTGCTATTACGCAATATTGTGCTATTGGATATTTCTTGCTATTGCGCAATACTATGCAATTGAAGATTTCTTGCTATTGCACAATACTGTGCAATTGAAGATTTCCTGCTATTGTGCAATACTGTGCAATTGAAAATTTCTTGCTATTGCACAATACTTATTATATAATAATTTACACATCCTGTTTGGTGTGTATCTCCTACCATATCATTATTATTTGCTTTTATATATAAATCAGAAATAACCAACTTAAAATGGAAAATTTTAAAAGAAAAAAAAAAGGAAAAAAAGGAAAAAAAAAAAAATCCCCCGCCCCAAATTTTTTGAACCCCCTTATGATTCATCACCCCCAAACTCAATCCCAGCCTTCCCTTTGTGGTATGGTACCTTGCAGTACAATTTCAGAGAGATCCATACACTTGAACACAAGTTATTGTCTGGAAACTAGAAAAATGTGTTTTTTGGGCCCCTTTTTGGCCCCTAATTCCTAAATGTTTAGGGCAATTACCCCCAAACTCAAACCCAGCTTTCCCTTTGTAATATGGAACCTTGTAGTACAATTTCAGAAAGATCCATACACTTACACACAAGTTATTGTCCTGAAACTAGAAAAATGCTTGTTTTTTGCACCTTTTTGGCCCCTAATTCCTAAAATATTGAGGCAATTACCCCCATCATCAATCCCAGCCTTCCCTTTGTGGTATGGTACCTTGCAGTACAATTTCAGAGAGATCCATACACTTGAACACAAGTTATTGTCTGGAAACTAGAAAAATGCCTATTTTTGGCCCCTTTTTTGGCCCCCAATTCCTAAACGTTTCGGCAATTACCCCCAAACTCAATTCCAGCTTTCCCTTTGTGATATGGAACCTTGTAGTACAATTTCAGAAACATCCATACACTTACACACAAGAAATTGTCATGAAACTAGAAAAATGCTTGTTTTTTGCCCCTTTTTTGGCCCCTAATTCCTAAAATTTTGAGACAATTACCCCCAAAATCAATCCCAGCATTCCTTTTGTGATATGGAACCTTGTGGTACAATGTCAGAGATATCCATACACTAACACACAAGTTATGTCTGGAAGTTACAAAAATGCTTATTTTTGGCCCCTTTTTGGCCCTAATTCCTTTACTGTTGGTACCATAACCCCCAAAATCAATCCCAACCTTCCTTTTGTGGTATTGAACCTTGTGGTAAAATTTCATAGAGATCCATTCACTTAAACTAAAGTTAGAGTGCGAAAACCAATGTGTCTTTGGACGACGCCAGACGACGACGACGACGCCAACGTCATACCAATATACGACCACAAAAATTTTTTTGCGGTCGTATAAAAATTAAACAAGAGGAAAATTTTGGTGTTACCTGAGCCTACCCCCTTAATGAAGTTAAATAACTGTATCAAAGCCAATGAATCAAAAAATATGGGTCACATGACCTGCATTCTATGGCAAATGGTCAGTCTGTCCAAGATATATCTTCCACAGGGGATCTCTCCCTATATGAAAGTATACACAAATGTGTCCCTTTTTTGATATGTCAAAATTAATGGGTTGCAATTTCACCAAGTTAAAATGTCAATAGATCAGTAATTTTCAACTTTCGATTAGATATCTGTATAGATATCAAAAATTGTATATGTGATAACTGAGAAATATATGAATGGATTATGATTTTACCATGAAATATATGTATGGGCCAGGATTTTCACGACTTCAAATATGAATCCAGGTGTTTTTGAAAATTTTATATAGACCAACCCCATCAATTTATATATATTTGAAATCTGCTAAGGAAAATTCAGGTCAATTTTGTTACAGTTTTTTATATTTCGGTTAGTGTTTAAAGTGGAAAACTACTTGCTAATTTTATCTTTTTTCACAACTTGCTAATTTCATCTTTTTCTACAGCTTGCTAAATGTATCTCTTTTTACAGCTTGCTAAACTTATATATTTTTACAACTTGTTAATTTCATCTTTTTTCACAGAATGTTTTCAAAGATATGCTGACCAATCAACTGATTTTCTTCAAGCATTCCTATCTTGCCTGGATATGAAAAGCAACTGAAAGAAGGTGTTAAAAAATATTTATTTCACATAACATAGCTGGTTAGCTATGTTGAAAATGATGTTGCATACCAGTACATAATTAACAACTTTTGCGTAATTCAGAACAAAAAGATTCCTCTGACCATTTTAAGACTGATATTTAAAGACACTGGCACTTTAAACCATCCTTTGAGGAAGACCTTGACAGGTGATAACTGTTCTGCACCTAACATCTCTAAAAGACATAAACTATCCTGGAGTTGATAATCAATTTTTTATTAATTTATTCTAAAATCCAATTTCCTTCTAAATATTTAGATTTTTATAAATTTGTGATAATTCACATTAACCTATCTAGAAGAGATTAATACATTATTTGATATCTTGGCAGGTAATAAATACATTATCAGGTTTTTTTCTATTTAGATATCCTAAAACATCAACTGTGAGTCACAAAATGAGGCTCTTTAATAAAAGAGTACATCGCACAAGCTCTAAGAAGGTTCACATCAAGGTGACAGACTGATATTCTACAAAATACTCATATTATCTAATTCATTTGAGTGTTTCTGTTGATCCAAAATATACCGGTAGTTCTTTGAAATTTTTAGAAGCTGAACATGATTGGAAGGTCAATGCACTATGCCAGCATTGAAAGCTCAAGGTTGAACATGATATTGTTGGGGCAACTCTTTTCAATGTCCCATGATTATGGCATGATACCAGATTTAGTAAAGAGTTGAGCAGAATGATAAAAAAGTATGAAAATAGGATACCCAAAAACATGAATGAAGAACGCAATGAGGTAAGCCCAAATCTTCACAATATATAGCAATACAAGACGTACCATCTTTGTCCAGGATATTATACGCCCAAACATCCTCATGCCACACTGGAACATCTTTATTTTCCTGAAATAGTAAAATAAAGAAAAGGGTTAAAAAGTTGATACCAGTTTGGATGAGGAAATACAAAACAATACTATTCAGCATTATCAAATTGAAGAAAAGTATAACATTAGAACTGCGAAAACATACACTGTGTTGATCTGTAGAGATGATCAAAGTACTGAAGTACTGAACATCGGATGACCGCAGGTTCTTGTGGATGGTCAAAAGCACATGTCACAGAAACAGATCACATCTCTATACCTGAAACTGAGGTTAATTTACAGAGATTTTTTTTTCTTATACAAGTTCGTGCTTGGATGATGAATAAATGACAGGAAATTCAACCTCACCGTAATAACTATTATATTGTAGTGATACAAATCAGTATACCTTAGACTATTATACTAATATAATAATAGTTCCAGAGAATACACTGGTTTGTTGTTATATATTATATTAATATTACGGTTGCATGTATATATAATTTTCATCTATATGTATATCATACTATTCTACTATTATTATAGTGTAATGCAAGTGCATGGTGGACACTCTTCTGTAAAAAAAAATCAAAGTCTTAAAGGCTGTAAAAGCAATTGCTGCCACGTTAATGTTTTGTGGACTTTTATTTTTCATCCATATATATAAGAATTAAACCTGACAGGACAGGAGTGTTGACTAGTGAGAAGCAAGACGGTTTTAACTTTATATCAATATAAGACTTTAGCAGGAAATCATTTTAAATATGTTTTATATTTTACAAGGAGACAACAAGTTTACCAGGCTAAAGTTGGGGTTAATTATACATGTGCTGAAACATATAACTGAAAAAAAAATCATTATGGATTATCCCCTGGTAGTGTTTGTAACTGGGCAATAATTTCCTTTATTGATTTAATTTTAACCATTTTCATAATTAATTTAAATTAACCATTCAGTTAAAACATTTCAACTTTCCAGACGCAAATGTTGAAAAACGGGACAGAAATAAAATATCTTACAAGACATAAACATGTAAAAAATAAATATATATTTCAGCTTACTAAAAATATGTTCATAATGTTACTTTGACATCATTCCTTAAAACTAAGTCCCAAACATAATTGCTCAGTTGACATGTGTCATCCTCATGCGATACGAGATAACTATAATTCTGATGCAATCCCGAAAAGGGGGGTCATCACAAACAAACATGACATTAAATTGTCATTATACGAACTAGAACAAACAGCTCTATGTTGCTTTGATATTTATCAATTTTCAGGAAACATGTGAAATAAATTTCAGGTCCATTTCATTATAGTGCCTAACAAGATTGCGTGAGGTAGACGAAATTGACCTTAAAACGATCGTATTGTCTGTTGATGTCCAAAAATAGGCAGATCGGACATATAAGGACTTTATCTAATGACTACATAAATTTGGGATTTATTATTATTATAATATTCTAATGAAACTGAAAATTGTATTTTTGTTTAGGATAAACAACAATTTTACCTGGCGTAGCCGTTCATAATTGTTTTTCTGCATTTATCTTCGAAAAATGGCGTATTTAATGGAATAGAACGTTAATACAGTAAACTTTCTTTTTTTTCTCCGCAATAGGCCATCAAAAATAATTTATCTAATGTGTATGTGGAAAATTATGTGAAAAGATAAAAATGTGGCAATTGTTACCTTTCATACCTTAAGTTTCGTTCATCTGATTCTGACCAATGCTTATATACTAAATATCTATTTATATGCCGCTATTATTGTTGTTGTTACCAATTATGTAAATCAATTGTATCCGATTTTATGCCCTTTATGGGCCCTGTAATTTGGGAAATAAAAAAAAAATCTATTCATTGATAAAACGTAATATGGACTGGTCCAGTGTCCAGTTTGCAGGTCATTTAATTTTCTGTACACATTCATGCACGCTCTGATTTAATCAATATACTCGTACGAAAAAGCATGAACAGTTTGAAGGTAATCTAATAATAACTTAATCCAATCAAATTGCATAAGATTCAATAACAATGTCAAGTCCACATCATAATGAGTAATAGAGGTAAACTGGGTAGGGAGAAAATGACAGATATTTCAAGTTAATATTTATGCAATAACAAATTAAAATTTGTCAACCAAAAGTTTTGCTACAATTTCAAAAACATGTCGTTCTGTATGGGTATAGTTTTCGGATCTTTCATTAGCGTATTTAAGGCTATAAAAAGTTTGGGCTTCAAAAGTTCACACAATTATTGACTTTATACAGAAAATTCGTCCTTGTAAAACATTTAATAGTTCACAAATGATACGCGATTTTAAAGTAAAATTATTTCTGAAAACACTGCAAAAAATTTCATTCATATTGATAAAGTGGTATCGTCATAAAGTGCGTTGAAATGAACAGTGGTATAGCAAACATCGAATTCCCTCACAAAATGTTATCACACACTACAGTAAGGGGAGTCAGTTAAGTTTGTTTATTTTTAGATACTATACAGGTAATCTTTTGACACTACGTATACAACCTGTGTGACCTGTGTAGTGATTTTGATTTTACGATAAATTCATGAATGAACGATAATTTTATGAATGAACATGAGCACCTGACCTCTTTCTTAAACACCTATTAAACATATAAAACCGTATTTAATAAGGAGATAATTCAGTCAAATTTTCAGTACTAAATCAACAACTGAAATGATTCCATTTTTTGATGAAACATCGTACGAACGGAGAACGGAATCGCAGGTATAAAAATGCACTTTTTTCCCTTGTAATGACCGCGGATCTATAATTTTTATAGATCGGTTGAAATCCCAAAACTAATTTGCATAATGGAAATTTAGGCGATAGCAATACATCGGAGTGACCTCAAGGTCATCCTCTGTAAAAATGACAAATATAAACATAGAGGAAAATGTAGGAATCGGTCAATGAATCTAGGCTTTCAGTTAAATTACAGTCATCATGACTTAATTTAATCAAACAATAAAATATAAATATATTCGTTAAAGATTTTTTTCAGAAAGTTAATAAATGGTACTCAACATGAAGAGGAAGACATGTTGTAATTAGTAGTCCGGCTAGATGAGCTAAGGAGTATGAATCACGCTTTTGACAATTACAATGTAAAATGTTTAGAAGAATAACTTGGGGATCACTAGGTTTATGTCAGAGGAGGGATACTTTCAACACAGGACACTAATGTGTCTTATTTTATCACTTCATGGAAGTGATGATTGTTTATCAACCTGACAGAGACATTTGTTGACCAAAATTATGAAGATATGACACAGTCACACTTTAAAAACCGAACTAGTTTTTAGACTATACAATCTATATGTACACATACATGCTAAAGAAATTAGTGATTTTTTTATCTGAATTATATTTATGCATCTGTATTTCGCCAATCCCCCCTATATCAATATCTATTGATAGTAATTTCTTGATTTTTAGTTTTTAATCGTTGAAAAAAAATGTTACAGATCATTCTTAAGGTATTTCATATGCAATACAATGTCCCCTCAAAGCTGTAATGATTACATTGGATGCAATTACAGCTGATGAAAAATCACTCAACCAAAACTAACCTCTATCTTAATAGGTAACTTCCTGTATTCAAATATCTAATTTACAACTTCAGGCATTACAAAAGAAAGTGCAGACAACTGAGAATTTTCATGCAAATTTCCTTTTCCAAATGCCACCACTAAGACAAAAATCGCACAATGGGAACAAAATTCAATTAAATGCTCTGCTGAGCACAGCTTGATACGACCGCAGAGGTCGAACCCTGAACAGTTGGGGCAAGTATGGACACAACATTCAAGCTTGATACAGCACTGAATTTGGATTGTGATTAAATATTTGACACAGCATAGGTTTCTGACACAGAATGAATGTGGTCTAAGAACTTAAAAATTTGTAATTTACCTATTCAAACCATATCATTATTATTTGCTTTTATATATAAATCAGAAATAACCAATTTAAAATGGAAAATTTTAAAGGAAAAAAAGGAAAAAAAAATCCCCTCCCCCCCAAAAATTTTTGAACCCACTTATGATTCGTCACCCCCAAACTCAATCCCAGCCTTCCCTTTGTGGTATGGTACCTTGCAGTACAATTTCAGAGAGATCCATACACTTGAACACAAGTTATTGTCTGGAAACTAGAAAAATGCTTGGTTTTTTGCCCCTTTTTGGCCCCAAATTCCTAAACATTTAGGGCAATTACCCCCAAACTCAAACCCAGCTTTCCCTTTGTGATATGGAACCTTGTAGTACAATTTCATAAAGATCCATACACTAACACACAAGTTATTGTCCTGAAACTAGAAAAATGCTTGTTTTTTGCCCCTTTTTGGCCCCTTATTCCTAAAATTTTGAGGCAATTACCCCCAAAATCAATCCCAGTCTTCCCTTTGTGATATGGTACCTTGCAGTACCATTTCAGAGAGATCCATACACTTGAACACAAGTTATTGTCTGGAAACTAGAAAAATGCTTATTTTTGGCCCCTTATTCCTAAACGTTTTGGGCAATTACCCCCAAACTCAATTCAAGCTTTTCCTTTGTGATATGGAACCTTGTAGTACAATTTCAGAAAGATCCATACACTTACACACAAGTTATTGTAATGAAACTAGAAAAATGCTTGTTTTTTGCCCCTTTTTTGGCCCCTTATTCCTAAAATTTTGAGGCAATTACCCCCAAAATCAATCCCAGTCTTCCCTTTGTGATACGGAACCTTGCAGTACCATTTCAGAGAGATCCATACACTTGAACACAAGTTATTGTCTGGAAACTAGAAAAATGCTTATTTTTGGCCCCTTATTCCTAAACATTTAGGGCAATTACCCCCAAACTCAAACCCAGCTTTCCCTTTGTGATATGGAACCTTGCAGTACAATTTCATAAAGATCCATACACTAACACGCAAGTTATTGTCCTGAAACTAGAAAAATGCTTGTTTTTTGCCCCTTTTTCCTAAAATTTTGAGGCAATTACCCCCAAAATCAATCCCAGTCTTCCCTTTGTGATATGGTACCTTGCAGTACCATTTCAGAGAGATCCATACACTTGAACACAAGTTATTGTCTGGAAACTAGAAAAATGCTTATTTTTGGCCCCTTATTCCTAAACGTTTTGGGCAATTACCCCCAAACTCAATTCAAGCTTTTCCTTTGTGATATGGAACCTTGTAGTACAATTTCAGAAAGATCCATACACTTACACACAAGTTATTGTAATGAAACTAGAAAAATGCTTGTTTTTTGCCCCTTTTTTGGCCCCTAATTCCTAAAATTTTGAGGCAATTACCCCCAAAATCAATCCCAGCATTCCCTTTGTGATACGGAACCTTGTGGTCAAGTCAGAGAGATCCATACACTTACACACAAGTTATGTCAGGAAGTTACAAAAATGCTTATTTTTGGCCCCTAATTCCTTAACTGTTGGTACCAGAACCCCCAAAATCAATCCCAACCTTCCTTTTGTGGTATTGAACCTTATGGTAAAATTTCATAGAGATCCATTCACTTAAACTAAAGTTAGAGTGCGAAAACCAATGTGTCTTCGGACGACGTTTTTTGAACCCCATTATGATTTATCACCCCCAAACTCAATCCCAGCCTTCCCTTTGTGGTATTGTACCTTGCAGTACAATTTCAGAGAGATCCATACACTTGATCACAAGTTATTGTCTGGAAACTAGAAAAATGCTTGTTTTTTGGCCCCTTTTTGGTCCCAAATTCCTAAATGTTTAGGGCAATTACCCCCAAACTCAAACCCAGCTTTCCCTTTGTGATATGGAACCTTGTAGTACAATTTCATAAAGATCCATACACTAACACACAAGTTATTGTCCTGAAACTAGAAAAATGCTTGTTTTTTGCCCCTTTTTGGCCCCTTATTCCTAAAATTTTGAGGCAATTACCCCCAAAATCAATCCCAGCCTTCCCTTTGTGATATGGTACCTTGCAGTACAATTTCAGAGAGATCAATACACTTGAACACAAGTTATTGTCTGGAAACTAGAAAAATGCTTATTTTTGGCCCCTTATTCCTAAACATTTTGGGCAATTACCACCAAACTCAATTCAAGCTTTCCCTTTGTGATATGGAACATTGTAGTATAATTTCAGAAAGATCCATACACTTACACACAAGTTATTGTCATGAAACTAGAAAAATGCTTGTTTTTTGCCCCTTTTTGGCCCCTAATTCCTTAATTGTTAACCCCCAAAATCAATCCCAACCTTCCTTTTGTGGTATTGAACCTTATGGTAAAATTTCATAGAGATCCATTCACTTAAACTAAAGTTAGAGTGCGAAAACCAATGTGTCTTTGGACGACGAAGACGACGACAACTACGACGACGACAATATCATACCAATATACGACCACAAAATTTATTTGCGGTCGTATAAAAAGTATCTGTAACTTATTATGATATGACTGTATAACAAATATATAATAAGCTGATTCAAGTTTGAAAAAATTGATATACCAATGCAAGTTTCTATTCTAATGCAACTTGGCATAAAACAACAATTTTGATTGGATGACGTCTGCCATCAATTCAACGGTTGATGAACCGAGTTATTGGTAACAACGTTGCGCAATCGCAGTCGCCACTTACAGGATATTTGAAATGTTTAATTTTAAACATTTTAAGAGTATTGCATTAGAATGGAATTAACAGTACTGTAGTTGAAGAGCTGCTGCTGTCAATTTTGATTTGACAGTCGCAAATATCTGTTTCACTGTAAAAAACAGCATTTGTGACCATCAAATCGCCAATTGACAGCGGCAACTGTTTTTTACCTTTTTTTTTTTTTACTGTTTCTCATTATCTATTATAGTTTGTGCAAAAACTTAACTACTAAAATAAAAAAAAAAGAGTGCAACATGCTGAAATGTCTGGCCTGCTTTACTGACCATTGATTTTATGTTGAAAATCTTAAAGATAAAGGTTTTACTAAAAGCATTACAGAAACTTAACATTTTTTAAGATCTATGACAATGATGTCAAGGTCAGATAAATCGTGTCAGACAAACATATACACCTTACAATTTTTTATACACCAAATATAGTTGACCTATTGCATATGCTAATTGAAAAACAGACCAAAACACAAAAACTTAACATTGACCAATGAACCATGAAAATGAGGTCAAGGTCAGATTATACCTGCCAAACAGAAATATGCACCTTACAATTATTCCATACACCAAATATAGCTGACCTATTGCTATTAGTATTTGAAAAACAGACCAAATCACAAAAACTTAATATTGACAAGTGAACCATAAAAATGAGGTCAAGGTCAGATGATACCTGCCAGGCAGACATGTACACCTTACAATCATTTCATACACCAAATATAGTTTGAACTATTGCTTATAGTACTTGAAAAACAGACAAAAACACAAAAAATTAACATTGACCAATGAACCATGAAAATGAGGTCAAGGTCAGATGATACCTGCCAAACTGACATGTACCCATTACAATCATTCCATACACCAAATATAACTGATCTACTGCTTATAGTATTTGAGAAACGGACCTAATCATGGTAACTTTAACCTTGATCACTGATCCATAAAATGAGGTTGAGGTCAGGTGAACTCTGTCTGACAGACATGTACCGGTAGTTGTTGCTAAGAACCCATATACCAAATATAGATATCATATTACCGGTACTCATAATAAGTGAGAAATTCCCATGACAAAAAAACTCATTTTTTTTCAAGCAGTCGCTGAACCATGAAAATGAGGTCAAGGACAATGGACATATGATTGATGGAAACTTGGTAACATAAGGTATCTGCATACAAGATATGAAGCATCCTGGTCTTCAACCTTCTGAAATATAAAGCTTTATACAAATAGTTTATGCTGCCATGGCGGTCGCCAGATAGTAATACCTATGTCTTGCATACTGCGACTTTCGTCGCAGACAGACAAAAATCATCTTTAAAGGGCAATTGCTCTTAAAAGGAGTCAGTTGACAATGTCTATCTATTTGTAAATCTTATTGTGCTTATAACATCTTTATAATTTAAAATTAATCTCTATCTAAAACAATTTCTGCAAAATATAAAAAAAAATGGATAAAAACCCTCTTTCAAGGGCAATAACTCCTAAAAGCGGTCAATTGACAAAAAAACTTTTCATTTCACAATTTCTCTCTATTTTAGTTTCTGCCACCAAAAAAATAAAAATTAAAATTAAATTTTTCAAGGTCAATAACTCCAATAAGGGGTTAATTGACATTTCCTTCATGTTAAAAAAATATTTGTTGATTTTATTTTGCTGAACACTTTTGCTTTTACAATTTCCCTTTATCTTTTATATTTTCTGCAATAAAACACAAAAAAAAAAAACCATTACCATACTACAGGCATAATTTCCATTAACTACAAACCTTAAACTGTATATGAAACAGCTTGGAACATAAATCCAGTAATCCCTTCAAAACTAATGGTGCTGGAAAGTATTCTCTCACTCCGTCAGCATTTAATCTGCAATAAATAAGTAATACAACTAAATGTTCATCTTCAGATAAATTCCTCCTTCAACAATCTTTATAGAGTCAGATACAGACAAGAAATGTCATTAGTAAGGAGTTATGTTGTTTTCAGAATGTTAGAACAGCAACATTTCAGCAGAAGTTTCTTTTGTAATCTTGAAAGTTACACAAAAACTAGTTGTATTACTCAAATCTAATAAAAACAAAATTGCATGTGTTGTCCTGCTAATAAAACAAGATTGCATGCATTATCCTGCTAATAAAAGAAGATTGCATGTGTTGTCCTGCAAACAAAACAAGATCGCATGCATTGTCCTGCTAAAAAAACAAGACTGCATGTGTTGTACTGCTAATAAAACAAGATTACATTTGTTGTCCTGCTAATAAAACAAGATTGCATGCTTTGTTCTGCTTATAAAACAAGATTGCATGCTTTGTCCTGCTTATAAAACAAGATTGCATCATTTTGTTTGCATGTGTTGTCCTGCTAATAAAACAAGATTGCATGTGTTGTCCTGCTAATAAAACAAGATTGCAAGTGTTGTCCTGCTATTAAAACAAGATGGCATGTGTTGTCCTGTTAATAAAACAAGATTGCATGTGTTGTCCTTCTAATAAAACAAGATTGCATGTGTTGTCCTGCTAACAAAACAAGATTGCATGTGTTGTCCGGCTAAGCATACTCCCACTGGCAATTGAAAGTATCAAAAAGTAGAAAGTAAGTGTCTGACAGATCCTAAAAGTGCTCAACTGTTACTCTGAACCCATCACTGCCAAGATGATGACTAAATATGAAGTAATTCTGTTCAGCAGTACTTGAAAAAAGTGTGATGAAAAACATTTAGTTCATTCAACATATTGCAAAAATTCAAAGTATTGACAAACAGGAAGTAGGTGTCTGACAGATCTGAGAAGAAATTACATGTTACAACTCAACACTGTAAAGTTGCTGACCAGATATGAAATTATTCTGTTCAATAGTTTACTGACAAAAGAGTGGCGAAAAGTTTTAAGTCCATTCAACATATTAAAGATTCCAAATTCACTAACAAAATCTCATGTACTGTCTAACTGAAAAGTTCAATCAGGATTAACTGGTGATTTAAACTTTACCTGGCATATCACTCCCCCCCCCCCCAAAAAAATAAAATAAAAGGAGATGTTAGGGTAAACATCAAAGCAATCTTTAATTTTAACAAAAAAATTGTAATAAAATGCTCCGCTGGGCACAACTTGATACGACAGCAGAGGTCAAACCCTGAACAGTTGGGGCAAGTCTGGACACAACATTCAAGCTTGATACAGCTCTGATTTTAAAATTGTGATTAAATATTTGACACAGCATAGGTTTCTGACACAGAATGAATGTGGTCTAAGAACTTAAAAAATTTTAATTTACCTATTCAAACCATATCATTATTATTTGCTTTTATATATAAATCAGAAATAACCAATTTAAAATGGAAAAATTTTAAAGAAAAAAAAAGGAAAAAAAAATCCCCCCCCCCCAAATTTTTTGAACCCACTTATGATTCATCACCCCCAAACTCAATCCCAGCCTTCCCTTTGTGGTATGGTACCTTGCAGTACAATTTCAGAGAGATCCATACACTTGAACACAAGTTATTGTCTGGAAACTAGAAAAATGCTTATTTTTGGCCCCTTTTTGGTCCCTTATTCCTAAACGTTTAGGGCAATTACCCCCAAACTCAATTCCAGCTTTTCCTTTGTGATATGGAACCTTGTAGTACAATTTCAGAAAGATCCATACACTTACACACAAGTTATTGTCCTGAAACTAGAAAAATGCTTGTTTTTTGCCCCTTTTTTGGCCCCTTATTCCTAAAATTTTGAGGCAATTACCCCCATAATCAATCCCAGCATTCCCTTTGTGATATGGAACCTTGTAGTACAATGTCAGAGAGATCCATACACTAACACACAAGTTATGTCTGGAAGTTCTTTGGCCCCTTTTTGGCCCCTTATTCCTTAAATGTTGGTATCATAACCCCCAATATCAATACCAACCTTCCTTTTGTGGTATTGAACCTTATGGTAAAATTTCATAGAGATCCATTCACTTAAACTAAAGTTAGAGTGCGAAAACCAATGTGTCTTTGGACGACGACGACGCCAATGTCATACCAATATGTCGTATAAAAACTACTGATTACATCAATCTAGATATTGTACACTATGCTACATTAAATGTAAAAGGATATCCTTAATTTATCATGAAATAAAGTTAAATTGCTGATAGACTCCCCTTCCCCTTTCACCCTGCAAAAAAATGCATTAACCAATATATCATGGTATTTCCGATTTGGCTAACACCTTCATGGATGATTTTAATACATGCAGTATTGCTTATCTAAAAAAAAAATACATAATATCAAAAATGATAATTACACAATGATGGAACTAAATGGAATTTTTCATATGTCGATTAGCAGCTACAACTGTAAGCTATTTGGAAGGTAGGTGTCTTCACTTCCTACTTCCGCTAAACCAGCAATTATCACATCCAAATATAAATTTGACAGCATATGTTGTAAATTTGGGTTGATTTGCAGCAAAAAATTGCAGTGTCCAACAAAAAAAAACTGTTTCAAAATAGGTTGATTGATTGATTGTTGTTTGCTTCATGTCCAGTGGTAAACATTTCATTTATATTCAGGACGAAATTAAATTAACAATTAACGCATTATTTAGGGTCAGTATGGGTTTTGTTCATAAACACATATAGACAATTCACGTATCTTCCTTTAAGTATGTGTTAAATATGATACATACGTCAAAAACTTAAATTGGTGACTAACAGTGTCGAAACATTGTTATCTATTGCAGTGATGATTCAGATTATATATATGTAAACAACACTTAGTAATTTTGAAAAGTCTTAGATGCATGATTTTTATTAGTTGTTATTGGCTTTGAACTAGCTGTCAGTAACTGCAAGTACTCTCAGATCTGTACTTAGTGTCTTTTTGTTGTGGGGATGTATCAGTACCCTGCTATGTCCACTCTGTGTTTTTGTAAGATGTATTTCTGCTTTGTATCGATCTGATGAGTTGAGCCCTTTTCAACTGATTTTCATAGTTTGTTCTTATGTTGTACTGTTACACCACTGTACCAGGTTAGGGGAAGGTTTGGTGCGTCTTTAAACTAGTTTAACCCTGCCACATTCTGTTTGTGCCTGTCCCAAGTCAGGAGCCTGTAATTAAGTGGTTGTCGTTTGTTGCTGTATTTCATATTTGTTTTTCGTTCATTATTTTGTACATAAATCAGGCTGTTAGTTTTCTCGTTTGAATTGTTTTACATTTGTCATCTCGCACCCTTTATAGCTGACTATACGGTGTGGGTTTTACTCATTGTTAAAGGCCGTACGGTGACCTATAGTTGTTAATTTCTGTGTCATTTGGTCTCTTGTGGAGAGTTGTCTCATTTGCAATCATACCACATCTTCTTATTTTTGTTGTGTCTTTTTTTGTACCCAATAGGACAACAATTATTTTGTGAAAATAAAAGACTATGATATCATAGCCAAAGGAAATATTATTTAAGTTATTTTAAGAATCACTGGCTATTAAAAGCTTTTTTATCCAACAGTCAAAATATCAATTTCATCAAAATTTGCTTGTTAATACTAAATTTGGGTTAATTAGCACAGGCACTTGTCTCAGAATTTTTTTCCCCTATATACCTTAATAAGTTATATTAAGGTATATAGGTATTTTTTTTTCTGAGACAAGTGCCTGTGTTAATTAGAGGTTAGCATATAATTTCGACACTACTATTATGAGAGTTGAATTTGAAAATAAAATTTTGACTTCCAGATGTTTGGTCTTATGGTATTGTTGGGTTGCTCTCTCACTAATGTTTATCTTACATGACCTTTAATTCAAATTGTAAAATACTTGTTGGATTGCTGTTTCACTAATGTTTATCCTACATGTTAACACATATATAAAATCAATTTACAGATCCTCCTACAGATTTGGTAAATATGATTCATATGTTAAAAATGTAAATTAGCCACAAAAAGTGTAAAACAATAGCTATATACTGCATTGATGATTTATACAATGTTTGTAAACAATGATTTGAAAAGGTAACAAAAAAATGACCTACAAACCTGAAATGTCTGGCCTGCTTAAATTATCATAAATACTCCTAGTTCTTAAGATAGTGATTAAAGAGCTGCGCCATGAGCGAATGATATGCCCATTACTTTTTCAAAGAACAAAGTTCCATGACTCCTAAATATCATATCAGAAATTTATTAAAAAAAACTAAAGGGAGCTTATTTTGATAGATATAATCCAGTCAGAGAAGTTTCATGAAAACTGCTCATATCACTTTTTGAGTTGCTGTCCGAAAACTGGAAAATCACCCTTTTTTAATGAATAAAACCCTGGAAAATCCTCCTTTTTAATGATGAAAACCCCATAACTCAGAAACGTAAAATCTAAAATTTATAAAAATCAAAAGAGAGCTCACGTCAATAGATATAAAATAGTGACCAAAGTTTTATGCAAATTGGTCAAAGCATTTTTGAGTTATTGTCCAAAAACTGGAAAATCACCCTTTTTTAATGAATAAAACCCCATAACTGGGTAACGTAAAATCTAAAATTTATAAAAATTCGAAAGGGAGCTCACATCAATAGATATAAACGGAAGGACTGATGGACTGACTGACAGAGGGACAACGGTATACAATAATACGTCCCGTAAACGGGTGTATAAAAATGTGTGACATATAAATGATCCCTGTGCTCATGTTGTTACAAAAGACCATCAAAAAATGTCCCAAGACAGAGAAGGTACAAATCTTCTTAAGAAGACACAGAAATGTCCTCCACCTTCTAAAATTCTAAACAATTTGAAGGCTACTTTATACCAAATCCTTCTACTAAACCAATATATCATAACTGAATTTTTTTCTCAGAAATCGTTTTGTGTTTGTACCAGCTGACAAAGCAGCCAACAA